AGAGTAAAATTCAAATACAAACAATGGAGTATCATCTATTGGAATGCACCTGTGGTATTTAGAAATCATTCTAACAATGGGTATACTATTACACAATCTAGAATAGCTTTAACCTTAACAAAATTTACTTCATGGGCAAAGTTTAATTTACAAATTTAAAAAAACAGCAACATAACATTTATGAACACTATTTTTGTTGTTTTAAATAACCATCTCATATTAACCAAAATGTTATTTATTAAAACAGATAATTAAAAGAAACGTATTTCTGGTTACAAAAATATTTACTTGCACACCAATACAATGTAATAAAGATTTAAAAGAAAAATGAGTTTTTATGTTCTCTGATCAAGTCAAGAGTTCATTGGTGCATTTTCCTCGTCATGGCAGAAACAATATGCTTCATTATATAGAGACAATGAAAGCATTGCAAATTAACAAATATTTCCATATGCTCAATATCAAAGCAATAAATATTTTAACCAAGGTTAAGAAACACAGATTGATTTGTAAAAATGAGTAAGACTTGTGCAAAACAAAAGCTTGAAGCTATCAATCCTTACTGTGGAGAAGGCTTCAGTGATTTTAGGGACATTTGCTTCATAGTAAAGATTTGCTAGAACAGTGTATACAGACAACATATTTTGTCAGTTAAAGAGTAAGTCTACTTCCAATAATGAATATTGTAACAACTACATTAACTGCACATCTCTGACACTGTGGTTCATTACAGAACTATATTTAAGCAAAAATTCTATTTCAATGTAACTTGAAACTCTGCAATTGAGAGCAAGAATGTATTTCAAACAAATATTAAGTCACTAGCTGTCCCCTGCCACACGTTGCTGTGGCCCAGTCTGGTGATCTGGAAAATTAAGTAATGAGAAAGTGTTGGTTTGTAATATATGTAATTTCTTTATGCTTGTGGGTAAACAGTATTTCTTGTTGTTTGTCAGTGTTGATGTGGAGAGTGTCTGGTTTGCCTACTCTGGAATATGCAACATATCATAGTCCTTCTTTAAGGGTCCCTTTCAAATCTATGATACTGTGTGTGTGTGTGTGAATCATATCTATCTATCTATCTATCTATCTATCTATCTATCTATCTATCTATATCTATGGCTGGATGGCTCTTTGTCAGGAGGGCTCTGATTACATTTTCTTGCCCTGGTGAAGAGAGTCGGACTGGATGGCCTTAAGTATTTTCTTTTGGTCATGGGGGTTCTGTGTGGGAAATTTGCCTCAATTTTGTCATTTGTGGGATTCAGAATGCTCTTTGATTGTAGGTGAACTATAAATCCCAATAACTACAAATCCCAAATGTCAAGGTCTATTTCCCCCAAATTTCATATGTGTTCATATTTGTGCATATGGAATATTTGTGCCAAGTTTGGTCCAGATCCATCATTGTTTGGGCCCACAGTGCTGTCTGGATGTAGGTGAACTACAACTCCAAAACTCGAGATCAATGCCCACCCAACCCTTCCAGTATTTTCTGTTGGTCATGGGAGTTTTGTGTGCCAAGTTTGGTTCAGTTCCATCATTGATGGAGTTCAAAATGCTCTTTGATTGTATGTGAACTATAAATCCCAGCAACTACAACTCCCAAATAACAAAATCATAATTTTTGAGTGATGGTCACTCCTTGTGTTGTGAGATGTTTTGTTGCCAAATTTGGTGTGATTTCGTTCATTGGTTCTTTTGTTTTTAAGGTACTCATTATGCACAGAGCATTTTTATATATATAGATGGACATTTTAAAAAGCTAGTAAGTCAGATTTCATACCAAATGCACTCATGCATAAGTGCATACATCAACCAGTCTGAAATTAACCCGTGACCCTTCAGTTCCTGGCCATTTTCATTCAACTTCAATTAATCTGAGTGTGACTACAGTTGCTTTTCAAACTAAAAGCATGGCCTAACCAAGCCACCAGTAGCCACATCTGCAACCCAGAAATTATAAAGTTACATGGTAAAATTAGTAAGGAAGCAAGTATCAACAACAGGGCTTTCACATAATTCCATTCGAGAGGGAAATGTTGCTGATTGTGCAAAAATGGAAAAACTAGAAATAAATTGGTAAAATGTCATCTACTATTGTTTTATTGTCTTATGGACATTTGGTCCCATGTAAGCCACCCTGAGTCCCTTTGAGGAAATGGTGGCGGGGTATAAGAATAAAGTTATTATTATTATTATTATTATTATTATTATTATTTACTTTTTTAAAGGATGGAAAAACCTCTATTTTGTATGACATCATACAGAAATATACCAATAAGAACGTCTACAAAAACAAGAGCATTGTTGCTTGAGATAAAAAGCATTTAGAAATATACACTAGATATGGAGAGCAGCTTTCTACCTTCAGTTTCAGGACCCCCTCAAATCTCAAATGCAACATGGGACTCTCACAATGTTTTACCCTATCCTTTTGTAGTAATTCTCCCCATCCCGCTTTTTTGTATTAAAAGGGAAAGCAGCTTTATGGGACCACAGCAGTTCGACCCCTCCTTCCCAAACCCACCCCACAAAGAATCCATTGCTCTGGATGCTCCGTTTAGGCTGACACTAGGCTCTATTTAGGATGATCTGTGCTATTAGTTATCATAGTTGATCTGGACAAAACAATGCCCTAAATAAACCCACTCAACAGGAGGCCCAGGAAGCAAAAAGATGCAACCCCAGCCCTCTTTTCCCTCTGCCTGCTAGAGAAGGAGAACAGTGAAAGCATGTTCAGAGAAGCATTGTTGGCCTGCCTCAAGTTGGGCTGACCTTCTTTGAAAAGATCCTAGGTACAGCTGACCCTGGCAGAACCATTCAAACCAAGCACAGAAGGAAAGTTGTCCATTGCCAGCCCTGAGGACTACTGTGGAACTCATCACTTGGATTTCCAGCCTGCTGAGAACCTACTTGTACTAACAGCAAGAGCAAGTAAAAGGGATGCCCCACGTGCAAATCCTGCTCACGTTGCCACAACTCTGGAAAGGAGGCAGGCAGGCAGGCAGAAAAGAAAGAAGTCTGGGTCTCAAGAGAAATGTTCTCTGTCTATCTATCTACACACACACATACATGCAAAAGGAAGGAGGGATTCAAGAGAGATGTTCACTCCATATGAACATGTAAACATACTTACACAAGTGAAAGAGAGAAAACAAGACAGAAAGAAGCTAAGGGCTCAGGAAAATGGTTCTCTCTGTGTATACCTGTAAATATACATATGCACATAAGTAAGTAAGTAAGGAAGGAAGGAAGGAAGGAAGGAAGGAAGGAAGGAAGGACTCACTCCATAGTACCTGTGGACAATCCATTTGACATGTGAAAGGGAGGAAGGAAGGAGTGAGTGAGGGGCTCAAGAGAGATGTTTTCTCTAGTAACATACATACGATTACACATACACAACAGCACATCAGAAAGAAAGTAAAGGCTCCAGAGAGATGTTCTCTCCTGAACACTGAGTTCCAATGGGAAAGGAGGTCGGTTGACACTCCTTCCCAGGGACCTTCCACACAGCCATAGAACCCAGGATATCAAGGCAGAAAATCCCAAAATATCTGCTTTAAACTGGGTTATCTGAGTCCACACTGCCATATATTCCAGTTCAAAGCAATTATTGTGGGATTTTCTGCCTTGATATCCTGGGTTCTATGGCTGTGTGGAAGGGCCCCCAAATCCCTTTTGGGGGAGGAAGATGGAATAGAAGAGGGGAACCATTGGCTGGAGGGGAAAGCACTGTGAGCAGGGAAGGAGAAGGGAGGCTCAAACGTGAGAGAGGAAGCCAGGGTTGGCTCCAACTTTGGGCATGCTTCCCATGCATTAGAGGCTGGTGGGCTCCAAGGCGGAGAAGGCAAAGCATGGGAAGACCAGGAAAGGGGGGGGTCAGACCACAAAGGAGGGGCGCTGTGCCGGAGAAAGACTGGATCGACCCTGTTCTAGGGACCCTTCCACACAGCCATATAACCCAGATTACCAAGGTAAATAGTCCACAAGATCTGCTTTGAACTGGGTTATCTAAGGGCCCTTCCACACAGCCATATAAACCAGAATATCAAGGTAGAAAATCTCACAATATCTGCTTTGAACTGGATTGTCAGAGGGTCCTTCCACACAGCCATATAACCCAGAATATCAAGGCACACAATGCACAAGATCAGTTTTGAACTGGGTTATCTAAGGACCCTTCCACACAGCCATATAACCCAGAATATCAAGACAGAAAAAAGTCCCACAATATCTCCTTTGAACTGGTTTATCTGAGGCCGCTTCCACACAGCTGAATAAAATCCCCCATTTTCTGCTTTGAACTGGAATATAAGCCAGTGTAGACTCAGATAACCCAGTTCAAAGCAGATCTTGTGGGATTTTTTGCCTTGAGATACTGGGTTACATGGCTGTCTGGAAGGGCACGATGCCATATATTCCAGTCCAAAGCAGATAATATGGGATTTTATTCGGCTGTGTGGAAGGGGTCGGAAAAAGGCTGGATCGACCCTGCTCTAGGAGGCAGTTTCGGAATGCAGAGAGAACTGCATCCAACTGGATTACAGGAGTGTCTCCACGCTGCTTCTTCAACTGTCCCGACCCCAAATATTTGGGGGGGGGGGGTCCCTGAGCTCAATGTTAGGGAGGCGATACAATGGGCAGCAGCAAGGCTTCTGAAGAGATCGAGAAGTGCTGAGTGTACAGTGGACTCTGCAGAAGATGCTTCACAGAGACACACAAAAAAAGGGGGATGGGGGTGGGATCAGCCTGTCTCAGCAAAGACAGCAAAGGCTGGTTTTGGGCTCCTTGGTTCCTCTCGGTGTTCCATATCCCGGGGGCCAGAGGCACATTTCTCCGCACGGAAGGGGCGGCGAGTGGGGAAAAGTTGGGAGTCTGCACAGCAGTTGAAGAGGGCATCCTAGGCAGGGCATGTGAGGGCTGGAAGGGCCAAAGAAGGCAGTGAGTCCCCTTCCCTCCCCTTGGGCTTCCCTTTCCCCTCGGCTTCCTTCCCTCACCAGCGAGAAGAGGTTGGCGTGACAGTCCTCCAGGCTCGCCCCGTTCGCCAGCCCGCTCATGGTCCTCCTCCTCCTTCTCCTCCTCCGCCGGCAGAGCGGGGCATGTCGGAGCGGGCCTGAGGCGAGAGCGGCTCCAGGCCCAAGCCGGGACTGCTTCCGTTGGCGACGGCAACCGCTTCCCTCAAGCAGCGCCGCCGCCGCCGCCGCCGCGTTCGGTTCTTTTCTTCCTTTCCCTCCCTCCCCCTCCCTCCCTCCTCCTTCTCCTCCTCCTTCGTCACCCGGCCGCCTCTTTCCCTCCCTTCTCCTCACGCACTCGCCGCCGCTCTGACAGCCATGGCGGCCGCGCCACAGGAGCGCCGCGCCCCCTCATTGGCCCAGCCCTCGCCACGTGGTACGCTCTGCCCGGCCCAAAGGAGAACTCCACCGCTGGCCGTTCCCTCGCTTTTTTTTCTCTCCTCCTGAGGCGCGCGCCTTCCAATTCCCTTCCCCGCCGGTGGGGGCGCTGTGCAACTCGAGGGGGGGGTGGGGTTTAGCCAGACACACAGGCAGGACTGGGCTTTTGCAAGACTTTGGCATTGTATTGTCACCCCCCCCCCCCCAGCTGCACCACATACACAACCCCACGCTCCATCACTCCCCCCCCCCCCACACACACACACACCCCACCCCCCCCCCCCCCCCGCCCCCCCCTTTGGCATTGTATTGTCACCCCCCCCCTCCAGCTGCAAGGAGAGACTGGTGGGGACAAGGAACAGGGCCTTCTCAGTGGTGGCCCCTCGACTATGGAACTCCCTCCCTCCTTCCCTCCCCAATGCTATTAGATAGCTTCCTCCCTCCTGCTTTCAGAAAGTCAAAACCTGGCTGTGGAATCAAGTGTTTGGGGAGTTGCACAACCACAGTGCAAAATGTTTATTTGAATACGTGGCATTGAATATTGCCGAACTGTATTTATTATTATTATTTATTTCGAGGTTTTCTATACCAACCCTCTCACCTTCAAAGAGGGATTCGGACCGGTTCACAACATGTGTTAACATACAAAGAATATACAATAACAACACAATGCCACTTCATAACACGATTAAAATATCAGCACTATACACATTAAAACATTATCATCACAGTTAAAAGAGCCAAATCGTCCGACACCATCACAATCCCATTCATCATCCTCCTTTCATGTGGGCAAAAAATTAAGCCCACATGTAAGCCACTCTGAGTCCCCTTCAGGGTGAGAGAGAGCAGGATTTTTTTTCCATGTCAGGAATGACTTGAGAAACTACAAGTCACTTCTGGTGTGAGAGAATTGGCTGTCTGCATGGACATTGCCCAGGGGACACCCGGATGTTTGACGTTTTACCATCCTTTTTTTTTAATTTCTCTTTATTATTATTATTATTATTATTATTATTATTATTATTATTATTTTCGACACAAAAATAGTACCATCACATACTATCATTGTTAGAAATTCAGTTGCTAAATTACATTATGAATACATATCACATATCACATATTGTTTTCCTAATGCTCTTATCTGTCTCCCCTTCACCTTACCTTTGTGTCTGACAGTTTTACCCCCCTCCTCCTCCCCCCTCAGGGAACAGTATTCACCTTAATTCAGATCTTAATTTAATTGAACAATTGTAAAAAGAGAATGGTTTAGCACATTATATCTTTCTTTTCCTTCCACTTTTTCGATCAGTCTTTCCCATTTCTGCACCCAAGTTTTCTTAAATCGGCATGTTGTGTATTTGCTTCTTTTTTTCATGGATATAATCCTGAAGCATTTATTCTGCTAAATACTCATACCATTTTTAACCTCCCATTTTCTATAATCTTTCCACCCCAACGCCACAGTTGCTTCGGCAGCTAATATCATATATTTTATAATTTCCTCCCAGGCTTTGATATTATCTTTTTTGTCAAATTTCTGTGTAAAAAATCCTATTTTACCAACCTTGTGGGAGGCTACTCTCATGTTCCTGCATGGGGAGCTGGAGCTGACAGAGGGAACTCATCCACACTCTCCCCGGATTCGAACCTCCTACCTGTCCTCCCAGCAGAAGGGTTTAACCCAATGGTTCCCAACCTTCCTGATGCCGCAGCCCCTTAATACAGTTCCTCATGTTGTGGTGACCCCCAACCATAAAATTATTTCCGTTGCTACATCATAACTGTCATTTTGCTACCGTTATGAATCATAATGTAAATATCTGATGTGCAGATGTATTTTCATTCACAGTGTTGTGGTTCAGCAACAGCATGATGGGCATGATGGGACTGAGAGTGCAAGTGGGCATGCTGGGAATACA